ACAGTGGCTGTGCGCATGCGCGAGAGGAAGAAGAGAGAAGACGAGGCGAGAAAATGGCGAGGTCTTAGTGGACATAGTGCCTGTGTGAAACAAAATAAATATGAAAAACTACAGAAGAAGGCTTGTCTTTTGATTTATGTATATGTAATATAAAAGGTAGGAGAAAGGTCTATGACAAGTTTATATCGTGAAACCAGTCACACAAAAAGCCTGTGACAGTGGACAAAGCCGCGCCCCAACAACTATGATCCAAGAAATGAACTGCCGACTTTGTTCACATTTAATTAAACTTCTGGAAAACAGGGCACACGTCTATAAATACACGATTGGTAACGTTTTGATGAAAGCCTCATAAAAATCTGTGTTGGACTAGATTTAGAGAGTCCGTGCTTCTACCTTGGAAAACTAAATAAGGTCAGCTAGTGTGTAGGAAAACCTCTGTTTCTTTAATTTATTCGTGTACCAGATGGAGAAAAAACTCGAATATATATATATATATATATATATATATATATATATATATATATATATATATATATATATATATATATATATATATATATATATATATATATATATATATATATATATATATAAATGTATATAAATAAGGGCCCAAAAACGGGTGGCCTTTTTTTCTAGTTCCGCCGCTGGTAAAGGGTTAAAGGTTAGGGTTGAGACAGTGTGTTAGTTACTGTAGAACAATCACGGAAGTAGAAACTCCGTTCGTTTTTTTTTTTTTTTTTTTTTTTTTACAAAATCACTAGTTTATCCAGTTGTAAAAAAATTAAGTTGTTTTTAGTCGAATTTTGGGCACCTAAACGGCACCTCTCTCCCTCGCATTGCGAAGTTTGGCGGTATGGTAGTAGCCAGGGGGAAATGACTGGGGTAAATGACAAGTTCGACCAAGATGGGATTGGTGGAGTTCATATCATCTCAAGTCTTCGAAGGATGAACTAGTTTTCCTCGAGCGATAACCGTTTAGTTTAAAGTTAATCGAGCATCATGAGCCCCGAATGTCAAAACCACAATCCTTCGATTAGCGTTTGTTCCATGCCCCTGAATTTATGTAACGTTCCTGAATTTACGTTCCATGTCCCTGAATTAAAGCTCCATGCCTCTGAATTTAAGTTCCATGCCCCTGAAGTTATGTAACGTCCCTGAATTTAAGTTCCATGCCCCTGAATTTAAGTTACATGCCCCTGAAGTTATGTAACGCCCCTGAATTAAAGCTCCATGCCCCTGAAGTGATGTAACGCCCCTGAATTTAAGTTCCATGCCCCTGAAGTTATGTAACGTCCCTAAATTTAAGTTCCATGCCCCTGAATTTAGTTCCATGTCCCTGAATTTAAGTTCCATGTCCCTGAATTTAAGTTCCATGTCCCTGAATTTAAGTTCCATGTCCCTGAATTTAAGTTCCATGCCCCTGAAGTTATGTAACGTCCCTAAATTTAAGTTCCATGCCCCTGAATTTAGTTCCATGTCCCTGAATTTAAGTTCCATGTCCCTGAATTTAAGTTCCATGTCCCTGAATTTAAGTTCCATGTCCCTGAATTTAAGTTCCATGTCCCTGAATTTATGTTCCATGTCCCTGAATTTATGTAACGTCCCTGAATTTAAGTTCCATGCCCCTGAATTTAAGTTCCGTGTCCCTGAATTTAAGTTCCATGTCCCTGAATTTATGTAACGTCCCTGAATTTAAGTTCCATGTCCCTGAATTTTGGTTCCACAAGCGCTTGGCAGGTAAAACACACTTAAAGAGATCGTCTTGCGTAGAGGTCGAATGACCGTAAGGTTTAGAGGTTGAATGACCGTAAGGGTTAGAGGTTGAATGACCTTAAGGTTTAGAGGTTGAATGACCGTAAGGTTTAGAGGTTGAATGACCGTAAGGTTTAGAGGTTGAATAACCGTAAGGTTTAGAGGTTGAATGATTGTAAGGTTTAGAGGTTGAATAACCGTAAAATTTAAATATGAATGAGCGTTAAGTTTAGAGTTTGAATTAACGGTAAAGTTTAGAGTTTGAATAAATGGTAATTTTTTTTTTTAAAGATCCGAACTTTGTTCTTTTAGCCGAGTGATCATGTTGATCCATTCTAACTGTTCAATGTTCTGCCCCCCCCCTTATTTTGGGCGACATAGTGCGGAAATGAATACGTTAAATAACGGGGTAGGGAATGGAGGGACCCACGGCAGTTCATTTCTATTCATGGACTGGTGGGTGAGGTCGGAGGGGGGGGGAAGGGGGGTGGTGGAGTGGGAGGGGGATTGAAGGAGAAAATAAAGTTCCGGTCAATAGCGCCAGCAAGAAATGTGCTATAAAGGGGGATAATCTGGTGTTGACTCTGTGGAAGTTACAAGTGGGCTGGCCAAGTTTGGCAGCTCAAGTGGGCTGGCCAAGTTTAGCAGCTCAAGTGGGCTGGCCAAGTTTGGCAGCTCAAGTGGGCTGGCCAAGTGGGCTGGCCAAGTGGAATGGCCAAGTGAACTGTCCAAGTGGACTAGCCAAGTGGACTGGCCAAGTGGAATGGCCAAGTAGACTGGCCAAGCGGACTGGCCAAGTGGACTGGCCAAGTGGACTGGCCAAGAGGATTGGCCAAGTGGACTGGCCAAGCGGACTGGCCAAGTAGATTGGCCAAGTGGACTGGCCAAGTGGACTGGCCAAGTAGACTGGCCAAGTGGACTGGCCAAGTGGACTGGCCAAGTGGACTGGCCAAATGGATTGGCCAAGTCGACTGGCCAAGTGGACTGGCCAAGTGGACTGGCCAAGTGGACTGGCCAAGTGGACTGGCCAAATGGAATGTCCAAGTGGACTGGCCAAGCGGACTGGCCAAGTGGACTGGCCAAGTGGACTGGCCAAGAGGATTGGCCAAGTGGACTGGCCAAGCGGACTGGCCAAGTGGATTGGCCAAGTGGACTGGCCAAGTGGACTGGCCAAGTAGACTGGCCAAGTGGACTGGCCAAGTGGACTGGCCAAGTGGACTGGCCAAGTGGATTGGCCAAGTGGACTGGCCAAGTGGACTGGCCAAGTGGATTGGCCAAGTGGACTGGCCAAGTGGACTGGCCAAGTGGACTGGCCAAGTTTGGCAGCTCAAGTGGACTGGCCAAGTGGACTGGCCAAGTGGACTGGCCAAGTGGACTGGCCAAGTTTGGCAGCTCAAGTGGACTGGCCAAGTGGCCTGGCCAAATGGACTGGCCAGGTGGACTGGCCAAGTGGACTGGCCAAGTGGACTGGCCAAGTTTGGCAGCTCAAGTGGACTGGCCAAGTGGCCTGGCCAAGTGGACTGGCCAAGTGGACTGGCCAAGTGGACTGGCCAAGTGGACTGGCCAAGTTTGGCAGCTCAAGTGGACTGGCCAAGTGGACTGGCCAAGTGGACTGGCCAAGTGGACTGGCCAAGTGGACTGGCCAAGTGGACTGGCCAAGTGGATTGGCCAAAAGGACTGGCCAAGTGGACTGGCCAAGTGGACTGGCCAAGTGGACTGGCCAAGTGGACTGGCCACGTAGACTGGCCAAGTGGAATGGCCAAGTGGACTGGCCAAGTGGACTGGCCAAGTTTGGCAGCTCAAGTGGACTGGCCAAGTGGACTGGCCAAGTGGCCTGGCCAAGTGGACTGGCCAAGTGGACTGGCCAAGTGGACTGGCCAAGTGGACTGGCCAAGTGGACTGGCCAAGTGGACTGGCCAAGTGGACTGGCCAAGTGGACTGGCCAAGTGGACTGGCCAAGTGGACTGGCCAAGTGGACTGGCCAAGTGGATTGGCCAAAAGGACTGGCCAAGTGGACTGGCCAAGTGGACTGGCCAAGTGGACTGGCCAAGTGGACTGGCCACGTAGACTGGCCAAGTGGAATGGCCAAGTGGACTGGCCAAGTGGACTGGCCAAGTTTGGCAGCTCAAGTGGACTGGCCAAGTGGACTGGCCAAGTGGACTGGCCAAGTGGACTGGCCAAGTGGACTGGCCAAGTGGACTGGCCAAGTGGACTGGCCAAGTGGACTGGCCAAGTGGGCTGGCCAAGTGGACTGGCCAAGTGGACTGGCCAAGTGGACTGGCCAAGTGGAATGTCCAAGTGGACTGGCCAAGCGGACTGGCCAAGTGGACTGGCCAAGTTGACTGGCCAAGTGGACTGGCCAAGTGGACTGGCCAAGTGGATTGGCCAAGTAGACTGGCCAAGTGGAATGGCCAAGTGGACTGGCCAAGTGGAATGGCCAAGTGGACTGGCCAAGTGGGCTGGCCAAGTGGACTGGCCAAGTGTCCTGGCCAAGTGGACTGGCCAAGTGGATTGCCCAAGTTTGGCAGCTCAAGTGGACTGGCGTAGTTGCCTGGCCAAGTGGACTGGCCAAGTGAACTGGCCAAGTGGACTGGCCAAGTGGACTGGCCAAGTGGCCTGGCCAAGTAGACTGGCCAAGTGGAATGGCCAAGTGGACTGGCCAAGTGGGCTGGCCAAGTGGACTGGCCAAGTGGCCTGGCCAAGTGGACTGGCCAAGAGGACTGGCCAAGTGGAATGGCCAAGTGGACTGGCCAAGTGGGCTGGCCAAGTAGACTGGCCAAGTGGACTGGCCAAGTTTGACAGCTCAAGTTGGCTGGCCAAGTAGGCTGGCCAAGTGGAATGGCCAAGTGAACTGGCCAAGTGAACTGGCCAAGTGGACTGGCCAATTGGACTGCCTAGATTGAAACGCCCGAGCGAAATTGCAGGCACTTCTAACTGACATATACGGTTCGTGGTTGGTACGTGGGTTAAGACATGAAGACAATGCAACATGACTTCAAATTAGACTTAATTGGAAACCTAATTTTTTTGAATTAATTAAATTTTTGACCAAATTAGTAGGCAGTCTTATCCAACTACACCACACTATTATACACGCGTCACCACGTTCAATAGCTGCGCCTCTGGGGTGACACCATTAAGTGCCGCACCGGGTAACACAAGACCTCGCTACGCCACTGACGGGTTGGACTATGGGATCAGCCTAATGTAAGAAATGTAAGGAGTTGTAATAACTAGCTTACATTGTTCATGTCAATGCCGTTAGTGTAGGACCAAGTGTGCTGAAAGGACTCCTGGAGTCTGTTGGCCAAAGTCTTTGGGATGTGATGGAAGTTGACAAACTCTTTGACGCTCTGAACTTTCTCGTGGTACTCGTCAGAACCTTGGTACACCCTCAACATGATGGAGGACACGTTCCCAAAGATGGCGGCGCTCAGCAGGGCTGTGAACAAAGTTAACATCAAGGGGCGCTCATGGCCAGATGACAACAATGGCCAGATGACAACAATGGCCAGATGACAACAATGGCCAGATGACAACAATGGCCAGATGACAACAATGGCCAGATGACAACAATGGCCAGATGACAACTACGGCCACAAAAACTACTGACGTTTACATCAACACAAACTACTGACTTTGATATCAAAACAAACTCCTGACTTTTACATCAACACAAACTACTGACTTTGATATCAAAACAAACTACTGACTTTTACATCAACACAAACTACTGACTTTGATATCAAAACAAACTACTGACTTTTACATCAACACAAACTACTGACTTTGATATCAAAACAAACTACTGACTTTTACATCAACACAAACTACTGACTTTGATATCAAAACAAACTACTGACTTTTACATCAACACAAACTACTGACTTTGATATCAAAACAAACTACTGACTTTTACATCAACACAAACTACTGACTTTGATATCAAAACAAACTACTGACTTTTACATCAACACAAACTACTGACTTTGATATCAAAACAAACTCCTGACTTTTACATCAACACAAACTACTGACTTTGATATCAAAACAAACTACTGACTTTTACATAAACACAAACTACTGACTTTGATATCAAAACAAATTACTGACTTTGATATCAAACAAACTACTGACTTTTACATCAACACAAACTACTGACTGATATCAAAACAAACTACTGACTTTTACATCAACACAAACTACTGACTTTGATATCAAAACAAACTCCTGACTTTTACATCAACACAAACTACTGACTTTGATATCAAAACAAACTATTGACTTTTACATCAACACAAACTACTGACTTTGATATCAAAACAAACTCCTGACTTTTACATCAACACAAACAACTGACTTTGATATCAAAACAAACTCCTGACTTTTACATCAACACAAACTACTGACTTTGATATCAAAACAAACTATTGACTTTTACATCAACACAAACTACTGACTTTGATATCAAAACAAATTACTGACTTTGATATCAAACAAACTACTGACTTTTACATCAACACAAACTACTGACTGATATCAAAACAAACTACTGACTTTTACATCAACACAAACTACTGACTTTGATATCAAAACAAACTCCTGACTTTTACATCAACACAAACTACTGACTTTGATATCAAAACAAACTATTGACTTTTACATCAACACAAACTACTGACTTTGATATCAAAACAAACTCCTGACTTTTACATCAACACAAACAACTGACTTTGATATCAAAACAAACTCCTGACTTTTACATCAACACAAACTACTGACTTTGATATCAAAACAAACTATTGACTTTTACATCAACACAAACTACTGACTTTGATATCAAAACAAACTCCTGACTTTTACATCAACACAAACTACTGACTTAGATATCAAAACAAACTACTGACTTTTACATCAACACAAACTACTGACTTAGATATCAAAACAAACTATTGACTTTTACATCAACACAAACTACTGACTTTGATATCAAAACAAACTCCTGACTTTTACATCAACACAAACTACTGACTTTTACATCCAAACAAACTACTGACTTTTCAACCCTAACCCTTTAAATCAATTAACAATCCCTAGCCCTAACCCTAACCCTAAAAATTCATTTAACTATACATACCACAACGCTTAAAAGTCGTTAGTAAATCGTATCCCCAACTATAGTAACCCATATGATTAATCTAACCCTAACCCTAACCCGTATAAGATCAGTCGCTTACGGCGGATACCTCTAAAGGGCTGGGAAATGAGCGGCTTTCAGTGCCTGCGTCACATCCGGTTCATTGATCCAAGTAACTGATGGCTGATCAAACTTGTTGCCAGCACCTAACCCCCCCCCTGCTAACCCATCCCATATTTTCCTGCTACCCCCCCCCCCTCCTGCTAACCCATCCCATATTTTCCTGCTACCCCCCCCTCCTGCTAACCCATCCCATATTTTCCTGCTACCCCCCCCCCCCTCCTGCTAACCCATCCCATATTTTCCTGCTACCCCCCCCCCCCCTTCTGCTAACCCATCCCATATTTTCCTGCTACCCCCCCCCCTCCTGCTAACCCATCCCATATTTTCCTGCTACCCCCCCCCCCTCCTGCTAACCCATCCCATATTTTCCTGCTACCCCCCCCCCTCCTGCTAACCCATCCCATATTTTCCTGCTACCGCCCCCCCTCCTGCTAACCCATCCCATATTTTCCTGCTACCCCCCCCCCTGCTAACCCATCCCATATTTTCCTGCTACCCCCCCCCCCCTCCTGCTAACCCATCCCATATTTTCCTGCTACCCCCCCCCCCCTGCTAACCCATCCCATATTTTCCTGCTACCCCCCCCCTCCTGCTAACCCATCCCATATTTTCCTGCTACCCCCCCCTGCTAACCCATCCCATATTTTCCTGCTACCCCCCCCCCCCTCCTGCTAACTCATCCCATATTTTCCTGCTACCCCCCCCCCCTCCTGCTAACCCATCCCATATTTTCCTGCTACCCCCCCCCCTCCTGCTAACCCATCCCATATTTTCCTGCTACCCCCCCCCTTCTGCTAACCCATCCCATATTTTCCTGCTACCCCCCCCCCTCCTGCTAACCCATCCCATATTTTCCTGCTACCCCCCCCCTCCTGCTAACCCATCCCATATTTTCCTGCTACCCCCCTCCTGCTAACCCATCCCATATTTTCCTGCTACCCCCCCCCTCCTGCTAACCCATCCCATATTTTCCTGCTACCCCCCCCTCCTGCTAACCCATCCCATATTTTCCTGCTACCCCCCCTCCTGCTAACCCATCCCATATTTTCCTGCTACCCCCCCCTCCTGCTAACCCATCCCATATTTTCCTGCTACCCCCCCCTCCTGCTAACCCATCCCATATTTTCCTGCTACCCCCCCCCTTCTGCTAACCCATCCCATATTTTCCTGCTACCCCCCCCCTTCTGCTAACCCATCCCATATTTTCCTGCTACCCCCCCCCCCTCCTGCTAACCCATCCCATATTTTCCTGCTACCCCCCCCCTCCTGCTAACCCAGCCCATGAAATATCGCAACGTTAATGGGAGCAACCTAATCGACATCATAGCACCACATAGACCACATAGACCACATAGACCACACAGCACCACATAGACCACATAGACCACATAGCACCACATAGCACCACAAAGACCACATAGACCACACAGCACCACACAGCACCACATAGAACCAAACAGCACCACATAGAACCAAACAGCACCACATAGACCACATAGACCACATAGCACCACACAGCACCACACAGCACCACATAGACCACATAGACCACATAGCACCACACAGCACCACACAGCACCACATAGACCACACAGCACCACATAGAACCAAACGGCACCACATAGACCACATAGACCACATAGCACCACACAGCACCACAAAGACCACATAGACCACATAGACCACACAGCACCACAAAGACCACATAGACCACACAGCACCACACAGCACCAAACAGCACCACATAGACCACATAGACCACACAGCACCACATAGACCACACAGCACCACATAGACCACACAGCACCACATAGACCACACAGCACCACATAGACCATATAGACCACATAGCACCACACAGCACCACATAGACCACATAGACCACATAGCACCACATAGACCACATAGACCACATAGACCACACAGCACCACATAGACCACACAGCACCACAAAGACCACACAGCACCACACAGCACCACATACACCACACAGCACCACATAGACCATAGAGACCACACAGCACCACATAGACCACATAGACCACATAGACCACACAGCACCACATAGACCACATAGACCACATAGCACCACATAGACCACACAGCACCACATAGACCACACAGCACCACATAGAACCAAACAGCACCACATAGACCACACAGCACCACATAGACCACATAGACCACACAGCACCACATAGACCACATAGACCACATAGACCACACAGCACTACATAGACCACATAGACCACATAGCACCACATAGACCACACAGCACCACACAGCACCACATAGACCACACAGCACCACATAGACCACATAGACCACACAGCACCACACAGCACCACATAGACCACATAGACCACACAGCACCACAAAGACCACATAGACCACATAGACCACATAGACCACACAGCACCACATAGACCACACAGCACCACACAGCACCACATAGCACCACACAGCACCACATAGACCACACAGCACCACATAGACCACATAGACCACACAGCACCACACAGCACCACATAGCACCACATAGACCACACAGCACCACATAGACCACATAGACCACATAGACCACACAGCACCACACAGCACCACATAGACCACATAGACCACACAGCACCACATAGACCACATAGACCACACAGCACCACATAGACCACACAGCACCACATAGAACCAAACAGCACCACACAGCACCACACAGCACCACATAGACCACATAGACCACATAGACCACATAGACCACATAGACCACACAGCACCACATAGACCACACAGCACCACATAGAACCAAACAGCACCACATAGACCACATAGACCACACAGCACCACACAGCACCACATAGACCACATAGCACCACATAGACCACACAGCACCACATAGCACCACATAGACCACATAGACCACACAGCACCACATAGACCACACAGCACCACACAGCACCACATAGCACCACACAGCACCACACAGCACCACATAGACCACATAAACCACACAGCACCACATAGACCACACAGCACCACATAGACCACACAGCACCACATAGACCACACAGCACCACAAAGACCACATAGACCACACAGCACCACATAGACCACACAGCACCACATAGACCACACAGCACCACATAGACCACACAGCACCACATAGACCACATAGACCACATAGACCA